AACTGCCATGACCCCACTGTATGTCATATTCGACTACTTTTTCTACCTTCGTCTTTGAAATACTCTCCTGTTCCTCCCCCCCCCTCTCGACCTTTTTTCACTTTGATGTTCCACTCCTTCAGTGAAGCCTGAAGTCAACTAAAGGGCTAATGATAACCATCAAAACGCCTGCCATTTGATGTAAATAAATGTTTTCATAATTCGTAAGTCAAACTTTAAAATGATCGCAAAAGATTGGGAAACTATGAACGGAGATGCATAATAGTCAATATCGAATAAAATAAAAGCACTCCATTTGTAAGCCGCGTTTAACGGTCGTGCTTATTCGTTACGCCCTGTGAATGTGCACCAAGGAACATTGAGACTGGCCTCACAGACGACATTCTTGCATTTCAAAAACTATTTCTAATAAGCCTCACAATGCAAACACAAAACCTTTACGCTTCAGCTCATTGACTGGCTGGCTTTAATAATACTGGCACGGAGAATAATGTCTCCCTCAACGGCCCCTTTCCCAGCATTGTAAATCAACGGATTAAAGTCGGGGGGGGGGGGGTTAATAGGTCAAGAATGCATTTGTCTGGAGCAATCGCAAAAACCGAATGACAGCCATTTTCAACATGTCCTTGAGGTGTGACAAGGAGCCAAATTCTGCTGCCGCCACATATCTGGCCTACCATTGGCCAGCTGTGTTCGCTATCCAGGCCCTAACTACTATAGTGGCCAGCAAATTCCACTTAGGCAACTAAATTTAACCTAAGCCTCTTTCGAAAAAATGCGTTGAAGGAGGGATTGCATCACCCTCGACTGCAGTGGACAGCCGAAAACCATGACACTTTGAGGGTATTTAGCCAGTGAGTTTGAAGGAGTGTCTTTTTAACTATATGTAGGCCAAACCAAAATGTTATTCTATCTTATTCTCGTTCATTTGTAATGGAAGTTTTTCTTATCGGAGAGAAACCAGATAGGTTGTGCTTCGGCAGGATATTTCCCTTTACTCGGGAAGTTCCTCGACTCTGTCAGACAAGCTGACCTCTGCAACACTGGTTTATATGAGTAGCAGCAAAGGTCTTCATTGAGTGGCAGTTTCATTGAGGAGGTCAATACATCCAGTTAAGTGTGTCTAAAAAACTCCTGTCAGTTCGTCCTTCCCTGCTGCTCCATGTTTTGATGGCCGGGGCTTCTCTTCATGATGCCACGATTCATGCGGATTTTAGTCAGCAACCATTCAAGTTCCCACCACGTATATGAATGATAAAAGAATTTTTTAAGTAAGCGTAATGCGTAATGTAATGAGCAATCGAGATGATCAGAAGTCGATCTCATAATTAGACCGAAATAAAGGAATACTCAAAGACTTGCAATTTTTCCATCCTAGCCACTTACTTAATCTCCTTTCACTTACCAAACAAAATGGAGATGTGATTTGGTGAAAACATGAAAATGAAGACAAAAGACAACGTGGAAGAATTGAATTCACTTCATTTCTCTCTGCTAGTGATGGGTAAATTAGAACGGGAGACACTGAGGATTTAGCTGTAGGTACTTGGGGATGAAAATTAGGATAAATCGAGATAGCGGTGAAGGGAATCGTGACTTATGAGGTGGTGTGATTATCTTTTAGGCATCAGTGAAAAAGGCTTGTCATTAAGAACTACTTTCGAGTGATATTTCAAGGTTGAATTAGTGCATAAGTTAGAGAGTTGGGGAAAAAATTGGTAGACCGTGGAAGCAATACCCTTCAGGTGATGGTCCATACCATTAGAACGAAAATGACAGAGCTACAATCCTTCTTCTGAAAAGAATGGAAAATTCATATTTTGCACCAAGATCAAGATCCAGGTTAAGGTTTGTACCAGAGTAGATTTTATAATGCGAACACGCAAAGAAAGTCCACAATACAAGAACACATGTTCTGGGAAGGAGATACGGAGACCTTTGGCAACCGGCTGCCAGTGACACTGTAAGTGTTCCCCCGAGTAGTATTGATTTTAATTGACTTTGCTATTGTATTGTCATACGCAACTGTCAACTTTTATCAATTCAATTTTTAAAATCTCTACCAACAGCCCGACAAGTATTACAATTAGAAGGTAACAGAAAATGATTTCCTCAGCTTCCTTTAAAACTCAAACAAATGGCTTCTGAATAGCAAATCACATTCATTGCTAAATTCATCAAAAAGGAATAAATTCAAGACTTGTTTCATGGGGAAATTTTCCAAGCTTAGACCTGATTCCATGGAAGGAAAACGATCCGAAATTCCCGGAAGTCGCAGTACCATTGGACTATCGTGTCATTGGATGCACACCGAGGAGCATTTTAAACACTCCTCCAGCATAGAGCCAGTATCCTAGGTATCTCCAAATGATACATTCTCCTTCTCTCTCCCTCTCTTGATCTAGTTTAAACCAGGGTCATTAGTTCACCTTCAAATCCGTTAAGTGGCGTTCCGAAACCCATGAAAAGTTAATTTGGCCAATTGTAATCAATAGGACTACTTATGATGAGGACAGCAAATTCATGGCCACTGAATAAATAGTCGTGGGTAGTGACCGCTAAGCAACTGATATGAACTGCCTATTTTTGACACTTATTTTCGTGGAAAAAAAGAAAATAAAGATATAAAATGAGCAACCAGAGCCAGATTTTAAGTGGTGAGCTCCACAGAGAAATGTGTCCCAAAAAGGAGAGAAAAGCCGTAAATGGTAGGGGCTTGTAGTTGCACTAGTCGTGAGAGCGAGAGGGAGTCATTCTATGCACAGAAAACTCTTTTCTTCACCTCCACTTGACACTTAGTTATCAGCACTTTGACCTGCACGTGGATACTAGATAACCAGATAGAAAACCTTTGATGGCAAGGATTAAAATTACTTTCCTCACCTCTAGTGAAGTTTTACGAAGTACTACAGAGAGAATTCATGTGGACCGGCTCAGCATAACTCAAATGACTTACAACGATAGAATACTACACACATGTGACTGGAAAGCGCTCTTGCATTAAAGAATGCAAGCGAATGCAATCGAAGAGTCTTATCAGAAATCTAATACCCCTTGAAGCAAGTGGATAAATATATTTCTAAGGGCTATTCACATCCTTTACCACCAGAGATACTATTGAGAAAGGAATCTCTCTCTCTCTCTCTCTCTCTCTCTCTCTTGACTTGTTAATTGACATGTGCCGGTCAAAAAAGTTAAAAATATTGACAGAGGAAACCAGAATAAGTGTGATTTTACGTCAAAATAAACAAACTATGCGCACTTGCATATGGAGAATCAAGGTTGTTAAAGTACACACAAGTAAGAAATAAAACAGTTGATATTGTCCTATATCTGAAGATCAAGGACCACAAATCGCTGTTGAAATCCTAATTTTCTGTTCATTCAAATCCAGTCACAATAACGCGCAATCTGAAGGCGAGAACCATTTCCCTTTTAAAAGTGTTTAGGCCTAAATCTATTGAAATGAATTTGAAGGTACAAAGGTTACAATGAGAAAGAAATTAGATATAAAGTTAAATGGAAATGGAGTAATAGAGCCAATTTTCCATTTTTTTCAATTACTAAATGATATCTAAACAAAACGAGGTAATGCAATCCAAACTTCAAACTGGAATTGTTCTTCTCATACCCTTTATTCAGAAAAGTTCATAATACTAATGATCCAGAGAAATAAAAGGCTACTTTCAATAATTATGCAAAACACAAAATAAAACTGATCCCACCAATTGACGGTGACATTTCCAATAGGTGGGAGCCCCTTTATTGTCAGTGCATTGATGTGGTTAATAAACTGACAAAGCACAGACCATTCCCACACTATCTAAAAAATGTATTCAGGTCCTCTCTCCTCCGGTTGTTTGACCTTAATTGAGAGTGAAGAGCGTCTGGGATGGAGGGGTGATCCATTTTAAATTGTAATAGCTTATAGATTAATGCATTTAGCAATTAGAAAACTCTGACCATTTGAATGTTTGAAAAGGGAAGACTCACCAGAAAGAAGTATTGGATCGATATGTTCACCCTTCTTGACGTGATCAGCTTCACCAGTCAGAGAACTTTCGTCAACTTTCAAATCATTGCTTTGAATAATGACACCATCAGCGGGTAGTAAATCACCTGGCAAAGGGCGAAAAATTGGCAGTAGTTAAAACCTACTTGCAAATTATGAAAATGAGTAAAATGGTATTATCGAATTCAGTCACAAAATTTGCTTTTGTAAGATTGATACAATACGATTGCTTTTTAATTAAAAATTACAATTCTTACGGAATGTATTTAATTTAATTTACACCTACTTTTATTTGATACCAATAAAATATTAAGCAATTAAAACGTGAGATTGATACTTAAGAAGGCGCTCACGTCATAGCAATATCCTCAATAAATATTTAGTTTCAAATTGAAATAAATTAGAATACGATAGCAATCAATAACGAAATAGTCGTGTTATATGAAAAAATCTTAAATCATTCGCGGTGAAGATAAATTTGAATCAAGTGACTGCAAAATACAATGACTTCCATAACTAAGATGTTAAATGCGGATTGAAAGAAGAGGGAACAAAAAGACATCAAAGACCAAGTGAGTAATCTTCAAATCCTCCCTCCCCATTGTATGCATCTCAAGTTGTCAATTATACTGGACTCACTGGCCGACCTCAAACCGAGCCAGCTATCAATTAGCATTCTGTAGTTAGTAAATATCCGCAACCAAGCCCCTAGGAGTACCAACTCTACTTCTGACTTTTGGAAAATTGGAACTGAAGGTGAGGCACTGAAATGAGGTTTAGTCATCCCAGGTTTTGGGTTAGCAGTTAATTATTATTGTAAATATTCCATTTATCAGTAGGAAACTCTAAGCTATTAAGTTGGCAACTAAGTCATTGCCGATTTCAAATAAGAAGGCCGTTCTTGTCGATGACCTTTTCCATCGTTCTGACAGAGTAAAAATTCCCCGTTCGTAAAATGTCCGGTCTTTGTTATTAAAAAACTGAATTAGGTGTGATCCGACATCATCCGCGTTGTTACAAATTTTACCATTTAAAGAGTTTTGCATGGAACGAAACAAATGGTAATCCGAAGGCGCAAGGTCAGGGCTATATGGTGGCTGTGACAAAACATCCCAACCCAGTTCCAATCATTTTTGCCGGGTAACCAAAGATGTGTGGGGGGGGGCCTTGCGTTATCATGATGGAAAACAACACCCTTCCGCCGATTTGATAATGCCGGCCGCTTATCTTCAATTGCATCCTTCAGTTTTTCGAGTTCTTCAACATACACATTTGAATTTATCGTTTGGTTCTGCGGCATGACTTCAAAATACAAAATTCCTTTGTGATCCCACCAGACTGACAGCATAATCTTTTTTTGGTGAATCTCTGCTTTTGACACTGTTTGGGCTGGTTGATCTTACTTCACCCATGATCTCTTGCGAGTAACATTGTTATAAACTATCCACTTTTCGTCGCCAGTAACTAGGTTCTTCAGAAATGGATCATTCTCATTGCGTTTCAGTAGCGGCGAATCACAGATGCTAATCCGTTGCGTCAAATGAATTTCCTTTAACTGGTGAGGGATCCATAAATCAAGTTTCTTGACATAACCAAGGGTTTTTCAATTTTTTTTCAATGCATGTATGCCACACATTGAGCTCCTCTGCAATATCTTGTGTTGTACTGTGACGATTTGAATCGATAATGGCCTTGATAAGTTTCATCCACTTCGACTTGGCGGCCAGATCGTTGTGAATTGTTAAGTGAAAAATCACCGGAACGAAATCTTTCAAACCAATTTCGACACTGCCTTTCTTTTAAAGTCTTCATCTCCATATACGGCACATAACTTCTTTTGTGCTCCCGATGCGTTCTTGCTTTTTCGGAAGTTATACAATAAAATGAGCACATAACTTCTTTTGTGCTTGCTATGCGTTCTTGCCTTATACAATAAAATGTGCCTGGAATTGCACGTCCTGTTCTTTATTTTAATATTAAGATAAAAACAAAACTAAAGAACTAAACAAAACAACATTTTTTACTAATTAACCTAGAAGCCCATACAGAAAGAAATTTTTTACTAATTAACCTAGAAGCCCATACAGTTAAAAAATATAGGTTAGATGCTCTGGCCACGTTAACAAAACCAGAAAGGATAGAGTGAATCTGTCAACAAAAACGGCAATGACTTAGTATAGAGTGAATCTGTCAACAAAAACGGCAATGACTTAGTTGCCAACCCAATAAAATCACAAGAAGAGTGTGCAAATTTTGGATTACCATGTACATTTAGAGAGGAGTGAGTATAAAGCAGTCATAGAAACTGTTAAGGTCGTCTAATATACTCATTGAGATCTTATTATGAGATTGGTTTTGAGTAACCTTAGCCACTAATAATGTTAATTGTAAAGAGTTAAAAAACGTGGGCAAAAGATGCCACAACTCAATGCTATCTTAAATCTGCCCGCAGCAATACCTCAACTCTATTCCCCATTCGGGAAACTTCCAATCAAAACCTTAATTAAATAATTTAAGTTGTTGCTACGAAAGCAAGGCAAAACTAAAATTTGGCAATGGCATAAAAAACCCTCTTATTCCCCTGAAACCTCCTGCCTACTTCAATGCACTATATACGCATTTTTTAAATCGTTAACGTGGTGTAAGTGGCTGCTTAATTGTGAAGTCAAAATCATTGGTGATACAAAAAAGACGCAGTGTTGTTACATAATGATACACTGAAACCATATGCGGTTATATAATTTGGATCACAACATCTGTTCGTTCAGTTGGATCGAACCCCTTGGAGAGGTAAAGAGAGGGAGGTGCTGAATACTCTCTTTCTTTTTTTTCATTTAAGTCTCCATATAGCGAGAGAGGGTTTTGGAGAATGGAGAAAAAAACTGAGCCAGTGTCGTGAGTAAAAGTTTCGAGTGCACGAGGGTGTTAAATTGGCGGTAGCGGAACAGTAGTAGCAGCAGGAGAGGGTGAAAATGAATCAGATTCTGCACGAACAAGGCAGATTTGATTTATTTTACTTTTCTGCTCCCTTAGTTACAGAAACAAATAAAAGCGTCTCCATGCAGTAGCACATGGGAGAGATGAATATGTCAAACATTTTTGTATTTATAACACGAAAAGCAGTCGGATATTGAATGGCCATTTATATCGGCGTTAGAAAATAAAAGGCATTTCGCTCAACAACTTATCGAACAATTTTTATTCTCTAATGTCTTCTTTATTCGCCTTTTAATTTAAGCATTTTCTTCGGTTTTTACGACTTGCTCTACTAGCCAGCAAGTTCTGTTCTCGCTAAAACTGGAGGGCGAGTATAAGCACAACAGTAGCACAAAAACAATTTACTTACAGAATAAATAAAAGGAAATCCACTTTTAGTAGCTCCTCTATCAGAAACGATCATTACGGAAACTTAATAAATGAGAATCAATATTAGATAAACGAATTAAACGAAGTAAATACAGAATTGTAAAGGCTAATATTTTGCATTAGTAGAATCAATACCACTAAATTCAAAACTGGATGAGGCATATTTATTGATTGAGTGATGGTCGATACTGCTTTATCCGCTCGCTTTTCGACTTAGAAATAGATCTATTCGAACGTGATTGATTCGGTAAGGTTACAAAACATGCAAGATTTTGAAGTCAGCGCTTCATATGATTTTATTAAGCTTGAGTTACATGGCTCTCAAAGGGTGTAAAAATCTCCATTTGAATGATTTTTTCTTCTCTTAAACTCAATTTCTTTTGTAATATGGAATTTAAAGGTCCCAAATTCGGTCTAGGACACCATTACCACATGCCCCCCGAGAGCTTGATGAAAAGGTTCTATTATGGGGAATTAAAGGGATGTACTCGTATTTGCATTTTTCACATAATCTTTTAGCCTCAAACACTACCTAACGCGTCTCAATTTATAGACATCGGCTGTTTTTATGTTCCACAATAAATAGGATTTATTGGTACTAGTATTTTAAAAGAGGATTTAAGATATTATACTTTTCTCCACAGGTATGAATTAATAATGTCCATATTGAGGTAAGAATGTAATCGAGAAATTTACAGAAAGTAAAATAAATTATAGCAAGGGAAAGTGTTACACCAGTGGTGTATGTGTATTAAAAAGAGGAATATAATGAAGGCATACCTCAGCCTAAGTCACTAAAAAAAATAGGAAAAAAGGCGTACCATATTTGATGAGACAGATGTCGCCAACCACAATTTCGCCGACAAGGCACTCAAAGAATTCACCATCACGCATGACAGATATGCGATGATCAGACTCGATTTTGTCCTGCAACCCACGAAACTGTCGCTCCTTCTGCCAGTCGTTGACTGCTGTCACGAGGACGACAACAATGACAGCGCCGAGGATGGCCACACCTTCAATCCAACCCGCATCCCCTTCCGTCTCGTCACCGCCAACATTTCCACCGCTGTCTGTAAGGTGAAAAGATGGTAGCGATTAAAGTTTACAATCAGTACTAGTCTATGATAATGTGTGTCAAATTATAAACTCCATATCCATGGGCACACGTCAGTGGGTACATCTGAATAATAAAGAGGAGACCAGAACTCCAATTTTCACCAGAGGTTCTCTAATCTCGACTCTCCATCCAATATTATTGCTGTAAACCGCTATCCGTAAGAATTCTTTTAGGTTAAGCTGATATAATTCATATGGGTTGCAAAACATATTAACACAATAATAATCCTAAAATATGTAATCAAGTAGCGCTTATCAGCGTGTTGAAATCAGGTTTACGGGATTCTGGAAGAAAAACCCTTCATTCAGATAAAACCATCGGATCAAGACTAATAACCTTTGTCTGTAGGTTTATTTAATAAACTGTGTGACTAATGCTCCAGTTATGCATTTAATCATTAGTAGTCAACCTGCACAATTGATAAATAAAAAACAGAAGGAAGAAGCAACCGTCGGAAAATTGAGTTGAAAAATAAAATTTTTTACCTAATTTCCATTGTCTGGAACAAAATTATATCCTACAAGTCCCCGCCAGCCCCCCCCCCTTAGTGCTATAAATTTGAAATTCCTATACATCAATGCCTTTTCTGGGGGATTATAAAAGATTAGAGAATTTAATTGTTTTATAAAAATAACTAAATCTACCACATTTCTGAAATGGCCTATAATTTGCATTCCATTCAATACTAGACAATAAAAGTCGAGGATGGCAAAGACACCAACACCCTATTTTTCTGCTTGAAAAACAGTATGGTTCTGATTTTGGTATATTCTCATTAAAATCCCCAAGACTGTTAGTAAACAACTGGGAGTTGATGCATTAGTAAATAAAAGATTCCATTCGAGAAAGGGAACAAAAGAAATGAGATTGATCTTCATCAGTCCGTGCTTTTCGTACCAATCTGCATTCAAAGAAGACAGAAGAAGGGACAAATTAATTTGGCTGTATTCACGATGCATTTCACAGCGAGATGTATAAATATACCTAGAATTTCGTCTTTTAAGCACTCCCGCTTCCCTTCAAAACAAAGCCTTTTCCATTTCCAAATTAAATAATTATTATCTGCCGACGTATAATATAAATTAAGAAAAAAGCGATTCAACAATAAAACTTTAGCTATTCTTGAGAAAAAAGCATGTTTTGCAAAACGTAAGTTCGTTGTTGCTAATGGTAGACGGCCATATAGGTTGGACTTATAATTATCTTTAAAAGCATCGAGACGAGGCAGAAAGCTGTAAGAGCAAATGAATGTGTACATAGCCATGAAGATCAAAAAGGTGCCTTCATCCAAACACCAGAGTTTGTACAGTCCCAAAGGCACGCTTTCTTCTGTTATTAGTCAAATTAGAACATGATTAGAAAATACGTAACAATGTACATTAAATAAATCCATATTTGATGTAATTCTCAACCACATTAAATAAATGCACCCCCCCCCCCCCCCTCATCTAGCTGAAATCATGATGGCCTTAGGAACAAAACAGCACAAAAATAATTACAAGAACACGAGAACAATTTTACCCCATCAGGTTCACAAAATCCTTGAATTTACTCCCCTTATGCCAATTGCCGTTGAAATCGTGAATATAATTCATCAATTTGATACAAATAACTACATGACTACACGTCAATTAAATTCGAATTGCATTTGGCAAATTGGAAACTTCGACACCAAGGTTGCCGCATCTCTAGGGTTCTTGAAAAAATGCCAGGAAAATGGAAGACGTCCATCTCCAAACAGGCGGATAAAAGTCGAAATTGGAGAATTTTTAAAAGTATCATAAAAAAGATCATGCTTTTTTGATAAAATTTACGCTCTATTATCTTTTAATATTTGCTAGGCATTATTTCAGCTTAACACCAGCAGAATTAACTTTCACAAGATCGGTGAAAGTGACATAATTACTTGCACCGCAGTTAAGCTTTAAGCCAACGAAGGTATAAAGACACATTAATCCAGACGTTATTTTTCCAGGGTTGCCTACATGCAATTGTTAATTACATTTTCCAAATAAAATACCAAATTCCAACGATAAGAAACGGTGCGATTCCAATTTAATGGTATTTCATTCCCTAGGACGCGAAAGCCCACAAGGGAAGGAATTTAGCCCTGTGATTACTCCTAGTTTTAGCTTCTTTATCTGGTGATTAAAAAATGTACAGACGAACTTGTTTCTGGAACTTAAAAGACTTTTTTTACTTGGAAGATACCGAGATTAGGTGAAAGTTTAGAAAGCACTTTCCTTAATCAACACTTAATAGTTATATGAGTGAATCAAGTGATAATAATTAGCCTTTCAGTACGACAAGTGGAGGGATTTTATGGTCTTATCGATTATAGCCTGAACCAAGGCATTCCCACTTCTGCCCTCTCTCTCTCCCTTCACCGCTCCCCGCTCCCCTCGAGAGGGGCACTAATTAGTTCGAAATGATTCCACGATCATAAACAAACACGCAAAAGCTAGTCCACGGTGTGCAAACTTATTTACTGCATTTTGTGGTAACAGCAATGGACTTTTAATTACGATATCATGTTCGAAATAAAAACATAACAGACAACAATGACGAATGGTTATTATAGTAGAAGTTTTGAAGTCGTGACATATTCACCGGGATAAATGGCATGGTTTCGAAACACAATGCAGTAGCTAAAATTCTTCCAAAAATCGTTCCTGCTTCTTGAAAATGATTTCTTCGATGAACTGGAGAATTTAATAGTGGTTTCAATGCACGACATTAAAAGGTATCTTACGAAAATCTTGAAAGAATTTAAATGTAGGATATAGTTGGTTTGACAAATATATGAAGAGAGAAAATTGAAAGCACGAGACTCCATTGTGTTGAAGGGAGGGGATGACCTTACTTTCAAGCGTAAATGAATTCGTTAAATTTAATATCCAAGTCAAATTAAACGCATCATGACAAAAGTTCACTCAGGGTTTTGGCAAGTGCAAAGAATTAGCTTGACAATAAAGACAAGATCATTCCAAACTAATTGCAACAAATTCCAGTGAGAGAGAAAAAGTTTGCGTTTTAAAAAATGACTTTTTCTGATGTTCCACAAATCAGAGGGAAGAAAACTACCATTACCAAAAATTTTAAAACTTTATTCATTTGGTTAAGCATTTTCTTCTACTGTCAGGAATATTTTAAACGGCTGGAGAGATGAAGAATAGTAAAAATACAAAACAAAGTCAAACATTTGCTCTGAAAAAGCGCCCAGCCGTCTTTAAAGCCATGCACACATCGAATAGAAAGTTCTCATACACATCAAGGCATGGGCATCTTATGAAAAGAAGCATCAATAGTAGTTGGAATAACGTAGAGATTGCGGTTTTAAAATCTAAATCTCATAATCTACCTTTCAATTTTATTCAATGAATGTGATATTAAAAGTTAGTATTTCATTTAATGCAATTGATAACTATGGTAAATGACAGCAACAAATTGAGGCTATAGTTCGTGAAAACGCAGCTTTTTTGCAACAAGGAACACCCAGTTTCTCTGAAATGGGGTCGTTTTTGGAAGCTAAATTAATTTTAAAAAATCACCATTCATTTCACTTGATAGACCCCATTTGATGGACACAAGAGGCGATAAGCGCGAGGAAGGGAGATTCAAAAAAAGAGGAATGAACGAAAATTATGCCGAAGCCTAAATAAAAATACGAGTGGGATTTATAAGGACAAAGAGGAAGAACATAGACATTGGCAACAATTGATACAAATCAAATAGTGTAATGCAGCAGGTAGCCCAGAACGATACGAAAATTAATGTATATATTTCAAAGTAAAATTTAGCGAACCCCCAGGTAAATGTTAGTTACATCCTTTTCCATTATTAACTGAAGTAGGACATTTGCGAGGTAAATCAAGTGACCCAAAATGTCAGGAACCAACCACTCAATAAAATCAACTGGCCAATGAACTCGAATTATTGATGACTAAATTCACCCAGAAATTTAAGTATCCAGTAGTGAAAACTTGTCATTGTAGCATTTAGGTATTATAAAATTCATTATAGGCTTAATGAGAGAGAGAGAGAGAGCCAGAGAGCCTAAATTCATTCTGTACTCGCACTTAACACCTTTAATGTGCCTCTCTGTTAAATTCATAACGTTGATAGAGATATAACCTATTTTTCACAAATGAACTTAACGTTAATAAAGCTGGCTAAAAATACCACTGAAGTGGGAGGGAACGCGATAGATTGCGACGAGTAAATTTGAATGATGTCCAGCTGAAAGAGATATTTAAACTAAAAGTATACAAAACTATGCACCGCTTAATTGACCTCAATGAGTACAAAAATAAACTTTTTAACAACAACCAGAATAGGTTGTCAAAAAGTTCAGGTGAACTTTCGCGTTTGATGGAAGTTCAAAAACTATCATAATCTTCAATTCAGGATACAATGGGTTATAAAGAGATAGAAAGTTAACTTTAACGAATATTTTGACACTGTCGAAATTTGAAAATAAAAGTATGAACGGCTACTCTGTGCTGTTCTATACCATCTATCGCCTCATATGAGAATCGACCCTAATTCAAACAATTTTCGATAACCCAGGTCTAACAAAATAAGCCTAAATACGTATAAGCTTAAAAAAAACAACTGAAAACAACAATCTTAAAATAGTTAGAAGTGATTAATCTTCGAAACCATCCAACTATTTGAGATCCATACTAAGCTCTCAAATAAGCTTACAATTTTAAGAAACTACGACTGTGAGATCATTCCCGAAGCCTGTATTGGGCTCCCTGGTGGGAAATTTGTTCACAGCTACCTTATGATGGACACACTGATGTAAACACCACTTAATGAATCCGCTTCGACCAGTGTATAAAAAATTATAAGAAATTTGTACTAATTTTAAATGAATAAGAAGTCTCAAATCTCAAGAATAATTGATCATAGGAAAAACGAAGTGTGCTGCATGCCTAGCTAATTACAAACCATACATTGACCTCCACGAACGAAAAAATTTTGAAGTTGATAACTCATAAGTTCGGCTTAAAATGATCAAGGACCCACCGTTAGAATGGAATAAAGAAGTTAAGGTGATAATTTATGTAAGCATGAGAATATGCAAACGAGAAAGCTGAATTCGTAAAATAGAGAAAAGATTAGCATATCCATGCCTATGACTTCTCCTTCCCGCGAAAAAGACTTAAGCTTTCAATTTTGCAAAGAATTTGCATTGCAAAGTAGACCTCCGAAGAGAAATAAATAATTAAACACAATGGTGGCTAAGCAGAGTCGGATTATCAGTTTACAAATTTAGAATAGAGAAGATTTGACACATCCGGTATTGACTCAAACATTAGGTCGAAACTAAGAAGAATGGTTATTAAAGAGGTTATAAGGAATCTAAAATATATTCTAATACCGGTTTTTAATTGCAGAAAAAAATAAACGAAAATTCGAGTGGAAAATTATAAATAAGCCGCGCCTTTTCCCACATTCGGACATCGGTGGGCGACTATTTAGACGCGAATAAAACTACTATTGGTCATTTTATACAGAAAATAAAAAAGCAACAGTAGCTAAAATTGCGTTATAAGTAAAAAAATCGATGGAAAAGTTCCGAGTCCATGGTTCAATTAATGAATATTGATTTGCAATATTTGAACAGAAGTTAGAAGTACGTTTTAAGCGCCTGAAAATCAACAAAATGGTTACGATTTTCCAGCCAATTTCATATCGATTTTCGAGCAAATGACTTAACGGACAGAAAGGGAAAATATTGATGGAAAATGGGCAAGTTAAATTCCATAAAGTGTTCAAATTTAGGGGACTAATAGGAAACAAGAATAACCGCCAATTGTAGTGCAAGGAAAAAATAATATATGCAGACAAAATGCTACCTGACCAAATGAAATGATGATAATAGAACGCGTCTTGGCGGACCAGTTGAATGTGAAGTAGATAGAGGTATTTGAAAGTGAAAGAGGGTAGGAAAATTCTTAGCAGAAACACAGATTTGTGTTTGGGTTTATTTGTGCAAATGCGAAACCAACGACCCACGAATTAAGTATAAATATTAAATATTTCCAGGAAACAAGTTTCAAGTGTACTTCAAATGAAGAGAAGAACCTCTTTTGGAAGCCAAGAAATTATTAGTACAAGTACCAGATTTTTATCTATAACAAGAGGCGAGAAGGAATGAAAAGAAAATTTACATAAAAAATATTGAACTGGTGGTAATCAAACCGATTCGTAATTTTTGGAGTGTAGTTTATTAAAATTAAAATCTGCACTTTAAATTACGAAAAATGTAAAAATTTAATTAAATTTCTTACATTTGCTGTAAAGGGAGAGAGCAAGGGATACGACAGCGGCGGCCATGAGGACAATCAGGGTAACATCCTGAAGTGCTTCCCACATTAATTGCAGAAACGTTTTTGGAGGTTTGGGAGGAATCACATTTGATCCGAAAACCTGAGTTCTCTCAGCGATTTCGGCACTATGTACACCTAATTGATGGAAAAATTCGACCAATAATCGACATGGCGATAAATTAACGCATGAATGCAATAAAAAACAAATAAAAAGGTAATCCAAGCAGAATTGGATATAAATGCATGATTTGAAGGTAAAAGCAACGTGAAACGTACCAGTATTGGGAGAGGTTTTTAACCGCTTGCATAGTCCAATAACTCCATCATAACGTGCTTTTATATAATTTATAGCTTCAAGCCCACGAAGTTGCATCATTTCTTGAAGCTCAGTTACGTTAACGCCATACGACTTGTATGTCGCAGTGTCAGAGATATTGGTGGGGTTTGGAGACATTTTGGGAGAGATGTTTCAGAAATTAATAGAATGACACAAATAAATTATTCACAGCCGATGAATTAATCGGCTTTTAGTGAGAAAATTTTCAACAATATTATACTCCTTGATTTTATAATCGCTGAATATGCATAGCCTTTAAATAATACCAAATCGCAGACAGATAACCTCACTCAAAAGACTCGACAAAATGCTCCCATTCGAAAAGGTTATCAATTATGCATATACTTTTTTGGTGCATTAAAACAACAATTTAAGTTAATGAAAATTTACTAAAAATTCGATTAACATGTCAATTTAATTAAAAATTAAAAAATAACAGAAGTAAAAAATTGAAAACTAGTTAGAATAAATTCTTGATATTATTCTCTATTATTTTTAAAAATAACTCTAATAGATTTCATGATAAATTGATAATCTAAGTAGTTATATCTTTTAACATTATTATATTTACCGATTATTACATTTCTAATTTAATTTTTGTAATTTAATATTTGACATTTCTTTGCAAGTCGTCATTCGATCGGTCAATTAATTATTTTTTCTATTAATATGAAATAAGATACAGGTTTCCTTTAATCAGCCACATGTTTGACGCAATTTGGTTTTACTATGTAGTACTGATCCGCTTTTTATTTTATTAAATTTTATAAACAGGGGAAATATGGCCACGAGAATTTAGCGAACTTTGCTGATAAAGTAATCGAGTTCCAACCATTTATACTCTATCTAATTATATATTAATTGAAGTATCTCGTTAATCCGACATGCCCCAAATCTATGTTAATGAATATGAAAGCCTATATTTCCAAACATGAAATGCCAATTCTAATTGGTCTACTTCTTTAGGTCCTATGTATAAAATATCGCAATTAATTTTTATTTTGTTTTCGCACTTCACAATGAAAATTTCTTGACCTATTGTGGCTGTTTTAGACTCTAGTCGTCTTTACCAAACCGATACATATATGTAATCTATGTATCGACTATAATCAGAAACGAGCCAATAGCTTGGTAGTCTACCTGTGGGACCATTCATGGCCCTTCAGTGATTTCCGTCATTAGGATTTGAAAAGTATCAATCGCCTTCTAAAATTGAGTTATAGAAATTTACGCAGTTCCAATTAGGGATATTATTCTCCAATCCAGAAGCTTCACGCATTATTGCCCAATTGTCGTCCCTTTGGGTTATAATAGACAGGAGATTTGTAGGTATTTCAATCTGTGTTAAGGTTGAAGTCAATTTCAATTGGTCCATTGGCGCAGAGCACATATTTATTTGAATTTTCGTTGATGAGAACTGAGAAGTTCAATGGGGCTATCGAAATGGACAAATTAAAAGTTATTTGAAAATCTAAATCCTCATTCAATTGCTAAAAGCAACAATAACAAAGTGTGTAGTGATGATTTATTTTCAGTATTTCCATTAAAACTCTCTGGAGACGAGATGGCTAATGATCACATTTTTAAACATCATGACACTGAATATCCTAACCAAATAAACGGAAAATAAAGACAGAACAATGTCAGCATTCGCCATATCTTTTATTTCAAACGAGATCCTATCAATCAGTTACCTACCACTTAAGTTCTAATTTTTAAGTAATGGGCTGGTAACCAATGTGTTTCAGCCATTTCTGCCTTGGCCATCACTAATCTCTGAAACCTGGTCACTTTAATCACACAGTGTCTCTTAGTACCTTGACGACCCTGAGTTCCCAGTATAACTATTGCTTGTCCCGCGATAGTCTATTTTATTTTGTGGGCGAAACATATCGCTGTAAGTTTATATTACATCAAAAATATCTAAAGATTTTGATTGGTCTGAATAACTAACTCCGAATTAAAGATAAAAACGTACTCAACACGATCCTTTGTTACCTTGCTCTCGAACAAGGCTGCGTAGTTTACCCTTTCCTTAACCTGATTGAAGGAAACTGGGAGTTCTGCATAGAAATGTTCCTAGAGATGTACTGATTTTCTAGGTAAATGACGACATTTAGGACTCTAACGCTATTAGTGTTCATGCACCATTGACGAAAAGAATGACTCACATCTACCATAATGCGCAGCATAATTAGAATGCTCTTATTTGATAGATGTAGTAAATTCATTTCCCGCGGAGTGTGCGATAGACTTACCTCCATGTGGTGCACCCTGGGCAACGTATTCTCATAGGGCAAAAAAGTCTATTAACTGGCAGTTGACTTCTCGCTTCAAACTACCATCACCCCACTATATGTCATACTCGACTTCTTCCACAGTACTCAGCTCATCATTTTTCTACATTTGTGCCTATCTCTTTTACATCTTTGAAACACTTCTGTTCCCCCCCCCCATAAATTTTTTTCACTTTGATGTTCTTTCCCCTCTGTGAAGCCTGAAGTCAACTAAAGAGCTAATGATAACTACCAAAACGCCTGCCATTTGATATAAATAAATAAATAAATCTATTTCCCGCAAATCCGCCTCCATCATGGTAATGAACATTGACCCGGACCAAT